CCCTATTCATACTTTACTGAAGTCCTACTATATATTAAGCAAAAAGATTCTACTTACTGGAGTTAATGAGATGAATAAGATTAGAACTCCTGTCCTCAAAGGATTTACAAATTCCAAAGACATGTATAACCAATGGCCCAGAAAGATATGACTGCTTGGTTCTTTTGAGGCTCTGTATGTGCTCCAGCACTATCAACTGGAAAGCTCTCAGTAAGTAGCCCCAAGTTGGGGACCTCCTGGATATGGATGCATAACATGTCAACTGCCACTTCCCCCCTCAATTTCTCTGAATGTATATTTTGCCTTAAGGTCTAAACATATTTTAGGGATACCCATAACAAATACAAGCCATTTGAGAAATGTGGCAAAGCAAGTAACTAAAAAGTCATTAATGGAGAAAAGTTCAGGTACAATGTAACTTTAAAGCACTTTAAAGAGTAGTCAAAATATGCAGCTTTTCAATGCCTCATTCTTATGGGTCATCTTCACATTGTTTGCTGTGTGTAAGGTGAAGCTGAAGTTGAACTTGAAGTTCAAGTCCAGTAGATTAGTCATGGTCTGGGCAAATACAAAATGATCAAGTTTTTGAGAACAAAGGAAGGCTTCAGCTCTTCTTTCTTTATCATCCATTGTCCCTTCCTATATTATATCGTGTATAAGGAATATTTAGAATGTCATTTGGGGCTTTAGCTGTTGTCTTGGACATTCAGCTAAAGTCCAGGGGTAAGGCAAATAGGAAGTAAGTAGTGTCAAGCTTTCAAGGATACTGCCAAGTCATCTTTCCAGGGCTGCTGAAAGGTGGCCCAAATGGCCCCTTCACACTTACCCCAGCACCTCTTACAGCGCCGCCCCCCACTCCCCATTCTGCATATAAAGGAAGAAGCCTGGAATCTGTAGGAGTCATAGACTGAGGAGAGTAAGTATATGATTTTGCCATTTTCTTTTTGTTGAGGATAGCAGAGGGGAGTTGCTCCCTCCCTCATGCAAAGTGAAGGATAATAGATGTTCCAAAAGAACCAAGCATAGAATGGTTCCATGCCAGCAAGATGAACTTACCATCTCATTGTCTGGAAGGATGCTAGTTGAGCTGCAGCAACTTGCAAGATGTACGAGGAAGGAACCCTGTGAAAGACAGAGTCCTTGGGGCAGCTCTGACACATGGTGCCTGCCTCTTCCCTGGCTGGAGGCTGTCTGGGGCAGCTCTTGATAGCAGAGTGAATGGCCAAAAGTGGAACAGTCCACATTTGTAGTGTATGGTGGGGCAAGAATGTGTGTTTCCCATGAGTCAAGCGTTGCCTCAGAACATAACCTAGCTGAAGTTGTCTTGATAGAACCCAGCCCAAGTGATTGGCTGCACAGAACAAGGGGACCCAGAAGTAAGTAGCTGTGGGGAAATACCTGGGAGCAGGAACTGGGAGGGTGCAGCAGAGTGAAAATGCAGAAAAAACATATTTACAGCCCGGGACAGAGACCACATTTGAATGCCTGCCACACCAAGCTATACACAGCCAAGAGGACATGATTATAAAGTGTAAGTGCCACTTTCTCTTTCCCCTGACCAGACTCCTGAGTTCTTTGATATTCACTAACAGTAGGTGTTTAGTATATATATATTTTTAATAAACGTGTATTTAAGCTGGAGCATAAGAACCGTAAGTAGATATTTTTGAAACGTCCAGAGCAACACAAAAATAAACAGAATGGGAATGCTTATTTTAGCTTGTTTCTTTAGGAACCAGTTATCATTTTTTTGGTCCTGCTTGCATAGTTAAAAAACTTTCCCTTAAAATGAAGGAGTATAATTGGACTTACATTTCTTTTCTTTATTGGTAAGTTTCACATACGACTTCATAAAATTTTCTATTTTAAAATATTTCATTTATTTATGCATGCAGAAACGGGGTACAGGCCAGAGGTGCAGGTGTGGTGAGAGGATTCACCAGAAACAGTGGGGAGCAGAACAGGCAGATTGGCAAAGTCCACTGCTGAGGGGAGCAGCGAGAGAGACAGGAGAGGTCTGCTCGCCATGGGGAGCACCTCCGGAGCGGGGACTGAACTCTCACTGAAGCAGCCATGGCCTGACTTATCTTCGCAGTGCAGCGCTCCAATCCACTGCGCCTCCAGGGAGGGCCCACTTCATAAAATTTTCAAGGGAGAATTTTGAGAGAGCTGAGGCCCGGTGAGGTGGAGTGATGGACCTGCAGCCAGAGCAGTGAGGCGGCATGGCCTTCTTCCCCCCCAGGTGTCTCCACTCTGTATCAGCACGCAGGAACACACAAAGTCAGGCCAGAGAGACCTCCAGCAAATGTTTTGGGGAAAACTGTAGATTTATACGCTGGCTGGAAAAAAAACTACGCTATGATTTAAAGGATATCAGCTAATCAACTACAAGCCTTCTCTTGTTAAAAATGTTAGAATCCTAATCTTTTCCTGGGTATATAGTCTAGATTTCAGGCTAAGTGAGCCATTCGGTCTCTGTCACAGACATTCATTCAGTCCAGCTATGTGGTACAAAGGCAGCCATTAATTCATAAATGAAGGGGCATAAAGTTTCAATCCAACTTTATTTAGAAAAACAGTTGGCTGACTGGAAACGGCCTGAGGACTGTATTTTGCCAACATCCATTCTAAAAGCTTAAATTCAAGGTGCACTTAAGTGACAAAACATATTTATGCCTGGAGGGAAAACAAGAATGAATTTATCATTGCTTTCTCTTTCTAATGAAATTAAGTTACTCAAGCAAT